TTCTCAGTTTCTGCTCTAGAGTCTCGAATCATGACTTCTATTTTGCTCATCATCTCTCTGGCTAGCTGGGAAATTATTTCTGATTTGAATTTTTCTAGAGCCTGATTGATCAATTTTGTTACCTCCTGTGCTATGGGTCCAGGGAGTCCTGTTGGTTCACTATCAGACTTTTCATCCTCATTTGTCCTACTATTTGCTATTGGTGAACTGGATATTTGTTTTTGTGTCTTGCTTAAGTGTTTTCTCATTTTTATTTTTATTGTTGGGTTGTCCTTCTTTAATTTCTGGGTATTACTTAAATCTTCCTAATATAGTTGCGTTTTAGCTTTTGAGTATCTTATGACTCATAGACATTCTCGTTTTCATAATATCAGAGAAAACAACTCTTTAAATCAATCACCACTCTTTGTCCCAATTGATACATTCAGCAGCCCAATAGGATCAGGCACAGCTTGCCAACTGACCACTTATGGTAGTCATTAATGTATCACCTTTAACTCATGTGAATTAGATTAATTTCAAGAAGCAGCTCATAGTATGTTTGCAGTGAATATTCTTTTCAATATGGCATCTTTACCATTTAGGATGGGGGGTTCGACTTAGAACAAGAGGATTAGATAAGTGAAAGAATTAGAGCAGGTTTGAAGTGAATCCAGAGGTTGTAGAATTACCTTACTATCTTTACAAAGCTATTAAGTTCAGGGGGGATAGAGAGAGTGCAGGAATAAGGACAGGAATATATCCCCTTAACAGTAACAGGCGCTTGCCTTCCCTTGAAGGTACAGAGCCATGAGTGAGGTAAAATGACTGGAGAAAAGAACATAAAGAGAAACCCGTCCTAAAAACAAAAAATAAAAAAAGAAGTCTGAGTTCTTCAGGAACTGGAATAAAAAGGGAGATGAGGGACACTATGGTGGAGCAAGAGACTGAGTTGGAGAGACAGGACAGAAAAAAGAAAGAAATTTTAGGGTGGAAAGAGGAAAAAAGAGACAAGAGAGAGGGAAAGAAAAAGAATTTGAAGGTCCTCTTTCAGGCTATCTCTGATCTCATATTATACCACATGCACAGTCATATGCGGAACCCAATCCCCTGGTTATAGCTAGCCAATGGCTGTTCCTCACGACTGAGACTGAACACAATCTACAAAGCCTAACTTTAGTTTCCTTACCCTCAGGGTTGAACTCCACTCCGTTCTATTACAGGTTTCCCCTGCCCTTTCTTTAAAGATGATCAAAGTTCGGAGCTCAGAAAACTACCCTTCATGGGAACCTATGCCTCTGCAGAGTTGGTCTAAGGACTGGCCCTATCAGGAGTTTTGAGAAGGGGGGGGTGTCGTGTGGGTGTTTCAAGGGCGCCCGTGCGGCTACCTTCCTTCCTGGTCTGTTGGTTCACAGGCTGGCCGGGAGCTCGCGCGCACGCCGCTGGGTGGTCGCAGGCAGGCAGGCAGACAGGCAGCTGAAGAAACCCCCTCCGGGGTCTTTGGGGCCTTCCTGGTCTGTTGTCGCGCAGGCCGGGAGCTCCCGCGCAGGCCGGGAGCTCGCGCGCACGCCACCAGGGTCAGATGCCCATTTTTGAATCGGGTCTTTATGTTTGGAGGGCTTGATTTTTTTGTGAGTTCTTTATATATTTTAGATAATTGTCCTTTGTCTTAGGAACAGCTGGTAAAATTTTTTTCTGCACGTTGTAGGTTGTCTCTCAGCTCTGTTGGTTGTTCCTCTTGGAGTGCAGAAACTTTTTAATAAAATGAGATCCCAGTTGTTGATTCTTTGTGCTAGTTCCTATGCTGTTGAAGATTTGTCCATAAGGTCTTTTCCTATGCCAATATCTTCGAGAGCTCTACCTACCTTATCTTCCAGCAAGTTTAGTGTTTGTGTTTTGTTATTTAGATCTTTAATCCACTTGGGTTTTAGTTTAGTGCGTGGTGAAAGATAAGGGTCTAGTTTTAATCTTGGGCAGGTTGAAATCCAGTTTTTCCAACACAGTTTATTAAAGGGGCTATCTTTCCTCCACTGAATATGGTTGGCTCCTTTGTCAAAGATGAGGTAGCTGAGTACATCTGGAGTTGTTTCTATATCTTCCAATCTATTCCATTGATCCTCGGGTCTTTTTCTTTGCCAGTTCCAAGCTGTTTTTATCACAGTGGCTTTGTAGTACAGTTTCAAATTGGGGATTGTGATACCCCCATCATGTTTCTGTTGCCTGGAATTGCTTTTGTTATTCTAGGTCTCTTCTTGTTCCAAATGAATTTTTCTAGTTCTCTAGTTCTGTGAGATATACTGTTGTAATTTCAATCGGGATTGCCTTGAATCTTGCAGTTTTGGAAGTATGGCCATTTTCACTATGTTGATTCTTCCTACCCAGGAGCAGGGGATATCTTTCCTTTTCTTATATCCTCTTCATTCTCTTTTTTCAGAGTGCTGCAGTTTTCAGTGTGGAGGTCTTTTTGTCTCTTTCATTAGATTGATTCCTAGATACTTTATTTTTGGGCGTGCTATTGTGAAAGGAATTGTTTCCTTAATTTCTCTCTCATGAGTCTGTTATTTGTGTATAAGAAAGCTATTGATTTTTTTTTAAACCAGGGATTGAAGCCTGTTTCTTGTGCTTGTGAGGTAGGCAGTGGAACCACTGAGCTAAATTCCTAGCCCAAAGCTATTGATTTTAGACTGTTGACCTTGTATCCAGCTACTCTGCTGAAAGTGTCAATTAAGTGTAGAAGTCTTTTGGCAGAGTTTCTTGGGTCTTGTATGTAGAGTATCCTATTGTCAGCAAATAATGACACTTTTAACTTCTTCCTTTCCCATCTTTATTGCTTTAATTTCTTTCTCATGTCTAATGTTTCCAGAACTATACTGAAAAGGAGTTGTGATAGTGGACATCCTTGTTTTGTTCCTGATTTTAGTGTGAAGGTTTTCAGTTTTTGGCTGTTTAATATGATGTTGGCTGTTGGTTTTTCATAGATAGCCTTTATTAAGTTGATATAAAACCATCTATTCCAATTTTTTGCAAGGTTTTTATGAATGGGTCTTGAATTTTGTTGAATGCTATTTCTGCATCTATTGAGATGACCATATGGTTTTTGTCCTTGACTCTGTTACTATAGTTTACTACATTTATTGATATACATATGTTGAACCATCCTTGCATCCCTGGAATAAATCCAACTTGGTTAGGGTGTATAATCTTCTTGATGACCTCTATATCTGTTTGCTAGTATCTTATTGAGGATTTTTACATCTGTGTTCATTAAGGAGATTGGCCTGTAGTTCCCTTTTTTGTTAGGGTCTTTCCCTGGTTTTGGATTCAAAGTAACACTTGCTTCCAGGAATGTATTTGGAAGAATTGCTTACCTTTCAATTTCATTTAAAAGTTTAAAGAGTAATAGCAGTAGTTCTTCTCTAAATGTCTTGTAGAATTGAGCAGTGAAGCCATCAGGTCCTGGGCTTTTCTTTGTTGGTAAATTTGTAATTGTTTTCAATTTCACTGATTGTAATTGGTGTGTTTAGAATTTTTTAATCTTCAATTAAATTTACTAATTCATAAGTATCTAGAAATCTGTCTATTTCTTCTGTGTTTTCCATTTTCTTAGAGTACCGTTTCTTGAAGTAGGTATTGATGATCCTCTGGGTTTCTCCTGGATCTAGTGTGACTTCACCTTTTTTGTTTCTAATTGCATGGATCTGAGCCTTTTCTTTCCTTTTTTTGACAAGTTGACTAACGGTTTATTGATTTTATTTATTGTTTTGAAAAACGAACTCTTTGATTCGTTGATTTTTTTGTATCATTATCTTAGTCTCCATTGCATTGGCTTCTGCTCTGATTTTTATAATTTCCTCCCTTTTATGAGCTTTGCATTTTTCTTGCTCTTCTTTTTCTAAAAGCTCAAGATTCATCATTAGGTTGTTTTTTTGAGCTCACCCTGTTTTCCTAGTGTGGACATTCACTTCTATGAATTTTCCATGTAGAACTGCTTTCATTGTGTCCTCTACATAGATTCCTGTATGTTGTATTGGCACTATTGTTGATTTTTAAAAGCAGACTAATTTCTTCCTCAATTTCCTCTGTGACCCATTGATTGTTCAGGAGAGTGTTATTCAATTTCCATGTGTTTGTAAAGTTCTTGTGGTATCTTACGCTATTAATCTCCAACTTAATTGCACCATTGTCTGATAATATACGTAGGATAACTTACATTCCTTTGCAGTTATTTAAACATGTTCTATGAGCTGTCATGTGGTCTGTTTTGGAGAATGACCCATGTGCAAGTGAAAAGAATGTATATTCTGATTTTGTGGGGTGGAATACTCTGTAGATGTCTATAGGTTTTCTTCATTTTTACCTGTTTCAAATTTATTGTTTAATCTATGTGCATATAGTTCAGTTTATACTTTTAGTAATTATAACATGACTTATTTTACAGTATTTTTGTATATGTGTACCTTGATTTTTGACTATAAATTTGGTAAGGCAGTATTATGGCTTATATCTGGGTGTCCCCTCACAGCTTCATGCACTCATAGGTGAGGGTTTTGGGAGGTGGCTGGATCATGGGTGTGTTACTGGATTGGTCCGTTGGTTGGTTTAGCATAGTTCTTGGTATGAATGATGGATTTATTGAAGAGGGAAGACATATATTGCATGTGTGTGGCACCAGTCAAAGGTTTGTAGCCTGGATAGAATAAGAAGGCAAAGAAGGAAGGCTTGCTGCTTCCTGCCTGGTGTCCACAGACTTCCCCTCTGTCACGCCACCGAGCCTTGGAGCCAGCCGACCATGTACTGAAACCTCTATGAACTGCGAACTACAGTTAACCTTGTGAGTGTCAGATATTTTGTCCCAGAAACAAGAAAGTAACTAAAGTAGGAAATATCTTAGTATAATATACTACAATTACACCTAATTAGTATATATTGTTTTAAATAGTATCTAAATATAGCACGCATAAATACATATTTGTTGTATTAAACTTAATTGAATTCCATCCTCTTCCAGAATAGAAACTGTTATCGCTTCTCGGCCTTTTGGCTAAGATCAAGTGCAGAATAGAAACTGTTTTCTAGAACCTGAAAACTATTGCAGAATCAGTATTGTTAAATGACTGCCCAGTTTTGATAAGGGCTGGTGTGTATTAACTGATGGCTGAATTATCAGTAAAGTTGCTGTCAGATCTGCAATAAATTAGCCATGTATGAAAAGATTAGGATCAGAGGAATTCTTTCCGCAGATGCTCTGCCTAATTATTGGTTCACTGATGACTTCCTGCCACCCACAAAAATACTGAGAAAAGTAAATATTCAGTGAAGTGCTTTGAGTCCAAGGAAATTCATCCAAGGATCTATGGATGGCTGTATTGGGATTCCTATAGCAGTACTTAATAAGAGTTGGTGTATGAATATGCCAGCTCCTTTCCACCTGAGGTGTGTCTTTCTCACAGGCTTCCAGAGGGCCCATATGGAATTAAGTGTTTGTCATGAATGGTGGTAAATGGCTTGAGGACCCAACCTTTATCATGTTCTTCCCCCGCTTGTCTTCTCTTCTTTCATACCTGTGTGATCTTTGCTATATTTTTCCTCTACCAAAATAGAGTGTGTGTAATTGAATCCTGCATGGGGAGTTTAAACCAAGTTTGAAATGTATTTGTTCTCTTTCTTCTCTTTTGTGTTGAGATATTTTAAAGCATCAAGAACTTTCCCTAAATTTGCTGAGCCCAATTACTTGTGCCTAGATTATGAAAATTAGCTAATGAGAAAATAAAGGACTGCAGGCAAACTTTATGCAATTGCAATAGTGTAACTTAGAAATATGCCCACTTTGGAGCTTTACCTTGGGCCCCTTTGTGGAAGCAGTTCCAAAGTAGTGTATCTAGCTTTGATGATGATGTATGAGTTTGTCATTTTAGGAAATTGACTGCTGTGGAACACATTCTGAGGAAGGAGACTTGATAAAGCTAATAAAATATACATCTACCACAAAGGGAAGTTTATCTGAAAAATGCTATTTCCTCTTCTACTATCAGTGTTGACACTTTTTTTTCCTAATGGGATTCAAGGAGCTGGCTGGGAAGCCAGGATGAAATACAGTTGGGAGCTATAAAGGCTGGCAAACTCAGGTCCCGTGAGTACACCCTCCTGTTGTTAAGCCATCCCTTGTGATAAGACCACCATCCTCTGAGTCAGATGCCTGCTGCATCTCTCCAGGCCTGTCAACAGCATAGCTAGATGAAGTAGGCACCCTTCTAAGTTATGTTTAGTGGAAGGTCTTATGAAACAGATTTCTTTGTCAAAAGATGGTAAGACGTAGTGATAGGGCTGCATTTGGAGGTCCCTTCATTGACAGCAGGTTATACTTTAAGCTTCCAGGCTAATCCTGCTGAGAAGCACACATGATAAGGCCCAGTGAAACGCTTCTCTTTTCTCTATGTCACCTGCCAAACCCAGGTGATCTTTGGGAAGAAGCAGTGAGGGTCAGAAGAGAGTGTGCTCGTCTGGGACACAGTGGATGAGTGTCATGCTTGTGTCATGGCTCCAGTTGTGGAGAATGTTGGTATATTATCCTGGGTGATCCATTTCACAGAACATTGAATTGTATATCCTCTCATTTTCATCATTCATGGTAATATCTCAATATAAGGTAGCATTTTACCATAAATTTATATTTAGAAATGAAATTAATGCAGGAAATAAGTGCATTATGTGCCTAATCAAACAAGAAGAGGATAGAAAGCATATAAATGCTGTTAAATTCTCGGCCAACACCTGCCTTCAAAATCTGCTTACTATTATTGCAAACTTACTGTTTATCCTGGCTGTCCTGAAAGATTAACCTTCTACTTTACCACCCATATTTCCTGTGACTTGGTGGTATACACCAGATGTTGGAGAGGGCCCAGAAAAGCCCGTTAGCTCTGCCTCATTTGGACTATGTCTCTTGGCTGCCACTGATTCCTTTTTTTTTTTTTTTTGGTACTGGGGATTGAACTTGGGTCCTTGTGCTTGCAGGGCAGGCCACCAAACCGCTGAGCTAAATCCCTGGCCCTACTGATTCCTTTTTAAAAAAATTTTTTCTCATTGAGTTTATTGGTACTTTTTAGGTATACAGTACAGTTATATTCATCATTGGGCTCTTGTACCTTTACATGACAGAAGTTGGTTCTCATTTTTCCCCTTACCTCTGCACTCCCTTCATCCCCCTTTCCTATTTGCAAAGACTTTGTTTCCATTTTTTCCTTTTTTCATATTTTTTCTTTTCCCTTCTTTCCTTTCCCTTACCTTTCCCACTTTGCCTCTGATTTCTTGAGTGACTTTAGTTTCACTTACTGGTACAGAAACCTCTGACAATAACTGTTCCCTGCTTGACTTAACTTCATTTGAGTTATACAATTGCCAGAGCCCTCTATGGTAACATCAGGAGCAGGAAACTTAATTCTTCTGCCTCTAATCTCTCCTTTTCGCTGCCCACCCCGACAGAGCCCAAATTGCTCTTCCAAATTCTCATATTCTTATATGCATGTTTGATGCTATTTTGTGTCTACTGAGTTTGACCAAAGGATCTCAAACTCATGTGGTGCAGCTTGCTCTCTTTCAGTGGCCAAGTCAACTACAGTACATTTTTATTCACCTTTGTGGATGCAGAGAAAGGGTTCCCCTGGGAATTTGCCCCTTGGAGTTTCCATCACCACTGCTTTGGCTTAAACAAAAGCATCTTTGGGCTCAGAACCTGACTCTGCCCTTTGCTTAGCTTTGCAGACAAGAGGTACTATTTTTAGCTCGCAGACCTTTTAGCCAGCATCCTGCAGCGTTGAGGGTGTGAGAGAGAAGCGCCTTGGAAATCAGACCCTGTCACTGATAGCATGTCCTAGACTGAAAAGGTGATGGGAGAAAGGATGCTTTGTGTATAGGGGAAGAGAACACAGATCCTGCAGTTGCTAGGCCAGGCGTCTGTTTTTCTCACCTTGCCTCGGCCTGCCATTTGGCAACATAGCCGTGTGCTCTTATGCAGCCCAGGCTATGGGGCAGGGAGGCTGAGAGCTGCAGTGGCACCTCACTTAATCCTGTCTGAGCCCATAGGAGTCAGTCTTATCAGATTGCTGTGGTGGGACTGAGAGAAAGTCAGCACTCTGGTCAGTCTCTCTCCTGCCTCCCGCAGGCCCCCTCCTACCAGGCTGTCAGCCTAACCCCAGTCACCCCCAGCTGCCTGCTTTGGGTGTCAGAGTGTGGCCGGCTGGGGAGGAGGAGGTGTTGGAGATGAAGCTGAGGGGGTAAAATGATACTGTGTGAGGAGCCAGGTTTATGTGAGCTTTGTAGCCCATAGATCCAAAAGAGAATGTGGTAAGGATCAGGTGGTCTGTTTTACAGTGGCTGAAACTTTTAATACCAAGTGCCCCTTCCCCTGCCTTAATATGCACGTAGAAATGAACCACTGTTTTAGGATTTTGACAAATTCATTTGATTAAATGTAATGTATAACTAATCTCAGTTCATCACTTGCTATTATTTCTTAATTAGGAGTGAGATGCAGGCATTGATATACACATTTGTCCCAAGAAAGGAAGAGAAAAGAAAATAATACTTGTAAAGGTCTAAAGGAGAACAGAAGATAATACTTCAGTTGGAAAGGTCTAAAGCTCCGGAATGGCTGGCAGCTTTCAGTGAATATGTGGATTCTCCATCCTTGGACATTTTGTGTGCAAAGCACAAATAGGTTTCATGACTATCACTGAGCCCAGCTTCTCTCTCTCTCTCACTCTCTCTCTCTCCCTCTCTCTCTCCCTCTCTCTCTCCCTCTCT